TGAAGTTCCAAAGTACGGGTATGTGAAGGTTTTAGCTGGAAAACTGCTAACTCGATAATCAGAAAAGCTGGAAAGCTGAAATTTTGAGGGAGTGCTCCCTGTTCAAGTACAACTTAAGTTTTTCAAATTCAGCCTTGAGGTATGCATGGTTCTTACCTATGGGCACTTAAAGTGTTGGCGAAAAAACTTCTCACTGAACCGACCAGGTTACTTTTAAAGAACGACTGTAAATGGAAATTGCACGTTTACTTTGCAAAATTTATGGTGATTTGTGCTAGTGACCGCAACAGGTAGGTGTAAAGCAACAACCATTCGTAAAGTTAACGACCTAGGTAATTCAAGTGCGGTGCAAAAACGCATGATCGCACGGGACTCCCCGGTGTCCTCCTGGGTTCATTCTTCCGGTACAGTCAGTTCTTACCATTTGCCACAGTCACTTACTACCACTTCCATACGCATCGCCGTGGGACACATATTCTAACACCACGCTTGAATACGTCCCATTGCTTTGTTGATTCCAACAAAGCCATCAAAACTCGCGCCGATATGTGCGCGGTGGTGGCGCACTCCGTACAACAAACCACCCGTATAATAGTGAGTGCCCGACCACCACTACCTGATTTTATCACGGGGATGTCCCCACCACCGGATATGCCAGACCGAACACTGCGGGCAACGCGTGCAGCCCACTAAACATTGCAAGCAGCTTTGAGTAGTTACTAAACTACGCAGTGAGCTGAAACTGTTTTTTCCACGCTATTTCTGCCACTAAGCAAAATTTGCATTAATGTTCCCCGGCATTCAAAATCTGCATGATTTTTTAGTGAGCTTTCATTGCTGCTGTCAGAGAAAGAGAAAAGGAGAATGGACACAAATTAAAGCCTGCTCAAAAGTAATTGCAGGACCTAGTCGAGCCCGTACATTTTGCCGATCGCCCCGTTTAACCCACGCTAAAACAGTTTATGTTCTTTATCTGGTTTATACATAATCAGGATGCCAAGGATTTTGAGCATCCCACTGTAATTCGTCTTCTTTGCTTTGAATTTTTACTACCGTTTTACAGCTGGAAAAGCGTAAAATGCAGGAAGAGAAAGAATTGGATAAGTTATGCGCACTTTTACGCTCAGTTACAGCAACTACGATAACAAAATTGAAAGCTGAACGACCAACACCGGTGGATCATGTGAATGCTTTAATGGAATATACTCATCAGCAGGTTTGAAATTGCTTATCAAAATATCAAATCAAAACCCCTTCCGAATTCGCTATTATGGGAGTTAGAAGCATTGGCAAGACAGTTCG